GCTTTGCTCCGTGTCTCCCTGGTCTGCTGGGGTGGGGACTTCCGCCCCAGCAGACCAGGGAGATGCGGAGCAGCTTTTCTCGCCCCAGAGGACGCAGGCGACGGGACCGCGGTGCGTCTGGGCGGTCCCGCCGCCCGCGTCCTCCGGGGCGAGAAAAGCCCCTTTCGTAAGTACAGATCCGACATAAGTCGGATCCGCGTAACCCGGGGACTGCCTGTATACCAAAGGATACAATCAAAAAAATGAACATATATGAAAAGGACAAATCAAATTTCAGAACAGAAAGGGCATGTGGGGTGGAGGTAAATGTCTGTGAGCTAATGATATTAGAGGTGATAATTGGAGAAGCTATCTTTGTAATGGGTAAGGTAATTAGTGTCCTTGTTAAGACCTAGGTGTAAAGTGTCAAATTTAAGCATGAATGACAGTTCAGAGGATTCTCTTTCAAGTCTGGTATTAAAAGGCTCTGGGAGACAGACCCATAGTCTCCTATAGACAACCACCTAACCTCAAGATGATTCTTACCAAAAACCATAGGACATACACCACTAACACCAACCCTGGAACTTTCCCTTGCAACAAACCCCGTTGCCAGCTTTGTCCACATATTCACTCTGCTGATACCATTATTGGACCTAACCAATTGAGCTAAAAGATCAAGAACACATATTCCTGCTCATCCAGAAATATAATTTATGCTATCATGTGCCGAAAGTGTCCGTCTGCTATATACATTGGACAAACAGCTCAGACACTTCGCCAAATAATCAATGCACACAAAAAAAGAGATATTAGACAGAATCACAAAGAAAAAACAAGTTTCTTGCCATTTCAACCAGAAAGGGCATTGTCTCAATGACCTGATTACCTGCATCCTGCTTCAAAGACCTTTTAACACCAGACTTGAAAGAGAATCCTCTGAACTGTCATTCATGCTTAAATTTGACACTTTACACCTAGGTCTTAGCAAGGACACTAATTACCTTACCCATTACAAAGATAGCTTCCCCAATTATCGCCTCTAATATCATTAGCTCACAGACATTTACCTCCCCCTCCCCGCCCACATTCCCTTCTATTCTGAAATTTAATTTGTCCTTTTCATATGTGTTCATTTTTTTGATTATATCCTTTGGTATATATGGTTGTGACAATTTTCTTCCACAATTTGATCTGAGGAAGTGGGTCTGACCCACAAAAGCTCATCACCTAATAAACCATCTTGTTAGTCTTTAAAGTGCTACATAGTCCTGTTTTTTGTTTCATACAAATACAGTGTTTTACAGAAACAGGGTTACTGGCTAGCAAGTCTTTTTAAAAAGCAACAACAACTAACAACAAAAGAAACAACCAAAAACAATGCTGAGAACTAGGGATGTTAACTATCGGTTAACTGAATAGTTGAGTAACCTCATGAATTCTTATTAGTCAACTATTCTATAGTCTCTGGGGGTGGGACCAGCAGCCAGTGCACTCTAGCCTCCCTCCCGAGAAGACCCCTGCCACTCCACATATCAGAGACAGTAGCACAGGGTGTTAGGTGGGAGCTGGTCTGTGAGGGGAGCCAGTTAAAAACCCAGCTCCTCTTGTGGACCTGTGCTATCCCCGTGCTGCTGCCTCTGATAAAGAGGCAGCAGTGCAGGGTGGCAGAAGCCCCTGTCTAGGGGGTGGTCTGAGCTGGGGCTGCTGACCAGCCTGCTAAAAATTTCCTGGGAAGCAGGGGAGGGATGCGTGTAGTCTATAACATTAATCTACAAGCTTTTGCTTATCAGTTAATCGACTATACTTTTTATATCCCTTCTGAGAACATGCAAAGCATCTTATTTGTGTTTCTATTTTGTTTATGTCCAGTAAAGAAACAACTTTTACGTTATTTTTATTATTGAGTTTTCAAAAAAGCCCACCCCAAAACCAAAACCCACATAAATCGATTGCTATGATTTGGGCATATACTGCATTAGGGATGTGAAAGATTAATAATTAACCTTAGCAATCTCAAATTGTCACTTCAGACATGCCACAGATTTCCTTCATTAGGCTGCGTGTTTGTGTTGTAGAAAATAATGTTAAAAAACAAGTTAGGAAAACTTGTGAATGACTTATCTATAAAGCAAAAATAATATGAATATACTTGTCAGGCAGTTTATACAATATTGTACAGTTTAGTTTTAATGCATGCTTAATTGTTGTTGGTGATTTGTGCTTGTGTATTGGGGGAGAGAATTAGCATACACACTGGCAAAAAGCGTAATTAACTCCTACATAAAATAGTTTAAACTAGTTCTGTAGTTTGTCAACTTGAGGTGCATTAACCAATTTGACACCATTAGATTTCTTTTAAGTAAGAATGTGTGTGTGTTCTGTAAAATAACACTGAAAAAACAAGAATGAATGTGTGTGAGAGTTCGTGACTTATCCCTAAAATAATACAGACAAGTAAGGAAAAATTAAAAAAAACAAGAGGTCCTGTAGCACCTTAGAGACTAACAAAAAAACATAGATGGTTTCCTGAGCTTTCGTGAGCACAGCCCTCTTCTTGAGCTAAGTGGAGCAAGAGGCACAGAAACTCCAAAATTTGGGGGTTATTGTGCCTCTCTGTGCCACTTGCTCCATTCATCTGAAGAAGTGGGTTGTGTCCACAAAAGTTCATGATACCATCTACATATTTTGTTAGTCTCTGAGGGTATGTCTACACTTGCACCCTCTTTCGAGAAAGGGATGAAAATGAAGACATTCAAAATTGCAAATAGAGCTGGGATTTAAATATCCCATGCTTCATTTGCATATTCACGTTATGGCGCTGTTTCGAAATAACAGACGCTGTTAAGACGCGGTTATTTCAAGAGAAAATCATTCTCTCAAAATAACCCTAATTCCTCATACAATTAAGTTTACCAGTTATTTCAAGAGAAGGGTTTTCTCTTGAAATAACTGCATCTTAACAGCATCTGTTATTTTGAAATAGTGCTATTTCGAAATAGCACCATAATGCAAATATGCAAATGAAACGCGGGATATTTAAATCCTGGCTTCATTTGCAATTTCGAATGTCTTCATTTGCATCCCTCTCTCGAAAGAGGGTGCAAGTGTAGACATACCTTAAGGTGCTATAGGACCACTCTTTTTTTAAGGTTTTTTTTTTTAAGTGACAGACTAACACAGCTACCAGTTGACAGTGTGGACACACAACAGCAGTTTCCCTGCAGCTCTCTGTGAACAGTGCTGTAACTTCCAGTGTTTTACATCTGCTAGCGTGGACAGGGCCATAGATGTTGTACTAACATAAGGAAAAGAAGTCCTGCCCCAGAGATCTTATATTTTACAACAGTGAGAGGATTCAACAGGATGACAGGACAGACAAATGGGGTGGGGAACAGTGAGGTGGAAATTAAACTTTTACAGTCCTTGCACCTCTGTTTTCCAGAGAGCACGAGGATTTATTGTTGAAGGAACTTAAGAAAGTTGGGGACTTCTGGATAGGAAGTGATGCCCTAGTTGTCTGCTAAGTAGGTACAGTTTGATGTCTCTCTGAGCACACAGTACAGCTGCGAAGATGAGATGACAGGATGGATAGAGCTGAGGAGGAGGACCAAAGGGCTGTTTTTTAGATTGTTACATATGGCTTTCATTCTTATTTTAGGCTGGTGACAAGATGGAAGTTGAAGAAACTAAAAGAGTTCAAGTGCAGAAAAATATAAGATCAAATGAGAAGCTGCCTTATGTGCCAACTGCTGGGGTAGAAAAAAATCCTTTGAAAACATTTACCATCCCTAAAATAAGGAGGACTGCTGATAAAGGTATGGTAAACTAGTAACAACATCAAAACCGAGCATTTTTGTCAAGTGAAAAGTGCAAAACTGAGTGTAAGTGAGGTATGTTATTCCAATACTCCATCAGTAAATGGTAACACCTCACAGCCTTGAAATCAATTGACCTGTTTCATATTTAGCACCTGTGAGATGTTGTGAACTGAGCTGATTAAAGCTCAGAAAAACCTGCTTCTTCAGACTATAACAAATACGTTGACTTTAAATTTTTTTTGTCTAGTTTCGCTAACACACCCAGAAAACCCTTCTCAAATGCCATGTATTCTATACCATATGAGCATCAATGCATTGGGGTTAGAGAGTTGGCCAGTTTCTGAAATAAAGGATATGCTTTCTGTGGGAATCAGACCTATCGAGGCATTGGCCTGAAACTTACCCACAGGGTTGTGGCCTTGGCTATAAAAGAAGGTGGGATTGCCCCCTCCTTATTTTCTCTGCCTGCCCTTGCACCAGCAGCGTGGTACCATTTCTTGTGGGGGGTTGCATATTTGTGTTGTGGTGTTTTGTATCATGTAGAAAGGTTTAATTTGAGTAGGTGATGTTCATTAAGATATTTCAGTATGCCTGTGGCGAGTGAACATGTGTAGCCTCCTGCCAGGCTCTCTCTAGTCTGCCAGGCAGATAGTCCAATTTATTGCTTTGTGCTGTGCAATATTCAGTTGTCCTTCCTCTTTGCCTGAACTTGGCCCAGTCCAGTGGAGCACCAGTCCCAGCTGCACGCCTCCCTCGCTTTGCGAAGCTATGTGCAAGTAGGCTCGGCTCTGTGGGCACCACCATGTCTCCCTCACATGGGGAGTTGTGAGGAGCTGTGGGCAAGGGAGAGAAAATGGAGTGTAATACCTCAAACTGGGATTGAACACTCCTGATTGGGCTATCCGTCATTTGGCACCCAGATCTTTTCTTAGGCCCACAGCTTCACCCTTCCTTTGTCCTGCTTGGTATGGTAGTGCCTTGCTCCTGCCAAGTGCCCAAATTACTGTACCTTTAAAACATTGATCATGACTGTAATTCTGATACTATAACCTTCCACGGGACTGAGCCCGGCTACCTGGGAGAGTCTCTTGACTATGAGCACCAACTCGTGCCACAGAAATGTTCCTAAAAAGCAACAACCTCTGCTTCTACGTGAAATATTCAGACAACTTTCTCATCAGCTGAGCCAAGAGTCTTGGGCAAAGTAATTAGCTTGACAAATGGTCTCAGAACAGACAGGGAAAACACGTTGTTTTAACTTGTGCCATGCTGCATCACCTTTGGCTAATGTTTGCCATAATTAATTTAACAGAGTTAGGACTTGTCTCCACATAAATCACTACAGCTGCACAGCGCTTCTGTGAAGACACTACTTATGCTGACAGGAGGGGGAATTCACTTCACTGAGAGGCAGTCGGTCGGTCGATAGGAGAATTCTGCCATCAACCCGCCTGTCTACACAGGTGGCTAAGTTTGTTCAGCTGCATTGGTCAGGAGTGAGGATTTTTCCCATCTCTGAGTGACAGAGTTTTCCCGACACAATTTCCTTGCAATCAAGAAAATCTACTTATGTCCATCTGCAACGGGTATCGGGCAGTGTGTCAGATACTCATCACTTCCTTTGTTGTGTTTCTAGTTTCTTTAGCACCGTGCAAGACTAATGAGAGGGAGTATAGTAGCATCAATCATACTCTGAGCCAGTCCCGTCTCAACACAGGATGTGACCTGCAGTCTTCTTGGCAGTTTGGTGAGATAAAACTTGTACACAATGCAGATCTGGAAAAAAAATTTGCTGGAAAAAGGTGGGTATTGTGAAGTGAATGCAGTGAATTCACCATGGTGACTTTTCACGACTTAACCCTCTACTCTTAATAGTCATCCATCGTTCTTTCCCATTCGAGACCAGCTTCTTCCAGAAGCAAGTTAGGGATGTCATGGGGCTCACTTTACAAAGTGTCCTATGTGATTTTGCTTGCTGCGTAATGTGATTTCCATGGCATTATTTTGTTTTAAATCTCGTCCCAGCTTTTCCTACCTCCGTTCTTCATCTACTTGTTCTTTGTTTACAAGATCTTCAGGTTCTCTGTCCTGCTACATTCGCTTTGCAGAGTCTGGCCTTGTCTGTCCTGTGACAGCTTGGGTCACAGAGAACCCCCTGAGCCTGTCTCCTGATTGGCTGATCATATCACTGAGGGTATGTCTACACTACCCTCCTAGTTCGAACTAGGAGGGTAATGTAGGCATACCGCACTTGCAAATGAAGCCCGGGATTTGAATTTCCCGGGCTTCATTTGCATAAGCGGGGAGCCGCCATTTTTAAAACCCCGCTGGTTCGAACCCCGTGCAGCACGGCTACACGGGGCACGAACTAGGTAGTTCGAACTAGGAAGCCTAGTTCGAACTACCTAGTTCGTGCCCCGTGTAGCCGCGCTGCACGGGGTTCGAACCAGCGGGGTTTTAAAAATGGCGGCTCCCCGCTTATGCAAATGAAGCCCGGGATTTGAATTTCCCGGGCTTCATTTGCAAGTGCGGTATGCCTACATTACCCCGCTAGTTCGAACTAGCGGGGTAGTGTAGCCATACCCTGATTCACCTACCTGCCCTCTGTCTCCTGCTGAGTCCGAAGCCCCCCCCAGCAGAGTAACACAGCTTTGGGAGAGCTCAGTTACAGTGACTCGTCACTACCCAGGAGCACAGCTCCAATGGAACCAAACCCCCAAATTAATCCATCTTACGCTATACACAGGTTTTACACAGAGAAAGCCAATAGAGTTTGCCGCCTTTATCAATGAAAGACAGATATGTATAGCTGTTGTCCCCCCACCAGGTAACAGTTATTTACGCTGGGTTTAGTAATAAAAGTGGTTTTATTAAGTATAAATAGTGGGATTTAAGCAGTTGCAAGTGATGACGAATGGATCAAAGTAAGTTACTAAGCTAAAATAAATAAAACACACCAGCTGAGCCTAATACACTAAGGGTGCATCTACACAGCACCCTAAACTCGAAATAAGATACGCAACTTGCACTATGCAAATTGCATATCTTAGTTCTAATCTATTTTGAAATAGCTTATTTTGAAATTTTGCCTGTCTACACAGTGCCAAATTTTGAAATGCCATGCTATTTTGAGCCATCCCTTATCTCTTGTGCAACAAGGTTTACCAGGATGGTGAAATAACGAACCCATTGTTTCAAAAAATATTTTGAAATAATGGGTGACTTGTGTTGACGTGGGGTAGCTATTTTGGGATCTCTAGTGCAGAGTAGATGTACCCCATGAGAAGTTGTTACAAATTGGGGGGATGCAAAACAATGCCATTAAGACCCTGGGCTAGTTATAGTATAGACTTGTTTTTTCTATGCAAGCCTTTGACACTTGATGGCTGTGTTAGCTGTCAAAGTGTATAACCTCTTTTTATTACTTTGCTAGGGCCAAGATGCGTGAAGAAGGAAGGCAAGGCAGAGAACTTGAGGAACATTTTTGCTTTTTAGTGTTGCCTTGGGATGAGGTCTCAAAAATTTACCAGGGTGGAATACATACTAGCGAATCTACAATGAAAGAATTAGGAAATCCCCTCCTTGGAGTTTATTTGTTCAGACATGTTGATGTTGCTTTGAATTATGCAAAGAAGAGATGGATCAGTGCAGAACACATCTTGGTTTTCAAGGTAGGTGCCATGCATAGAGATGGGGTGGGGGCATTTTCAATAGTGCACAAGTGCTCTAGGCACCCATAACAGGGCAGGATTCCTCACAAACAGTCTTGGGCACAGCTTGATTGTCACTAACACCGCTGTGAGTTTTTATTTGTTCTGTTCTTGTGAAGCACTTGTAATTACTGTGCCCTTCTGTTATCACTGGCCCTGTGGAACACGTCTGCCTGCAGCAGTCTTATGTCACAGTCCCCGTGCAGCCCTTCCACCTTCCATGTCCTTTTGCTACCCGCAGAGTCCACTAGCAACACTTCTACACATAATGTCCTTCCACTGCCATCACTTTTCTGTGTGGCACTTCCGTCTGCAGCATCCTTCTGCCCTCAGCCATTCGGATCCCCGTGCAGCACGTCCACCCAGTCATGGTCCTTGGGCAGCATGTCCACCTTCAGCGTCCTCAGCCACTGGGACAGTCCTGCGTCACGTGTCTACCGGTTGCGTCCTCCTTTCCTCAGCTCTTTTTGCAGGAAGAATAAGCAGCCTCACCAGCTAGAGACCTGGCTTCCCCTGGGATCTGCTAGTCTTCTCTCCTCCCCTTGTGCTTCCTTCTCATCTGATTGGATAATTAGCTCCTTAGCTCATCAGCCCGCAGTCTGATTAGCTAATAGTCTTCTTAATTAGGGCTTCTCTGTGGGAAAAGTTGGTGTCTACTGACCAGAGTGCTAGGTCACATGCTGGTTCTCAGCACTAAGTCACAGAGCTTAAATCCTATTTTTATATGTTACTGAAGAGCCACATTGATTTGTAGTGGGAGTTAGATTCATACGGGCCTGCGTTCCTTCTGAAAACAAAGCTTAGCTTCCTAGGCCATGTAAGTGCTTTTTAAGATTTTACCCTAGTGGATACTATTTCAAGCTAATTGCTTTGTGGTGCTCGTGAGTCATTTTGCCTCTTTAAGCTATGCTATTTGTATATTCCACAAACACAAGAAGTTATGGAGATTATTTAAAATAAAAATAGGTAGGCAAGTAGATCCTTCCCTAAGGATCTAGCTGTGCTGACAGTAGAAGCCTTGAAAACTGTTTTTTTTAGTACTTATGTTTCCTAACAGTTAGTTATTAGTTCTTGGAAATAGTTCCCTTTTGTGTTCCGAATTTTCCTGCTTTCCACTAGAAATGAGTAATGTATATTTGCTTTAACCTAAACTATGATAAATTGATTAGGCATATCCTTATTAAAATCTTTTGCTTTATTTGGCAGGTTCTCTTTGGAAAAGTAAAAAAAATTCAGCCTCCCATGGGTAAAAAGAAAATTGCTCTGGATCCTACACCAAACTTTGATTGCCATATGTCTAGAATTGCTCCTACACTTAAAGATCCAGTTGATCTGCAGGCCATTGGCTCATCGGTATGTGGATTTTTTATTTGACTTGATTTGCTTACTCATGATCTAAATAAAATTCTATAAATCATCTTTCCTTGTTCCCACCATGGGAAGCACAATATTAGAATAAAATGGTAGGGCTAGATTCAGTGGTACTCTCTCTGCTTTGTGCGTATCACTGACTCATAATAACGGTCAGTTACTGCATGCAGATGTGGTTGCCTCATCTCAAAAAAGATATCTTATAGTTGGAAAAAGTTCAGAAAAGGGCAACAGAAATGATCAGGGGTTTGGAATGGCTGCCATATAAGGAGAGATTAATAAGACAGTGACTTTTCAGCTTAGAAGAGAGTAGACTAAGGGGGAATATGATAGAGCTCTGGAAAATCATGAGTGGTGTGGAGAGAGAACATAAGGAAACATTATTGACTTGTTCCCATAAGAACTAGGGGTCGCCAAATGAAATGAATAGGTAGCAGGTTTAAAACAAACAAAAGGAAGTATTTCTTCATACAACATACAGTCAACCTGTGGAACTCCTTACCAGAGGATGTTGTGATGACCAGGAGTTTAACAGGGTTCAAAAAACAACTTGATCAGTTCGTGGAGGTTAGGTCCATCAATGCTTATTAGCCAAGATGGGCAGTGATGGTGTCCCTAGTCTCTGATTGTCAGAAGCTGGGCATGAGCAACAGGGGATGGATCATTGATGATTATCTTTTCTGTTCATTCCCTCTGGGGGCACCTGACATTGGCCACTGTTGGCAGACAGGATACTGGGCTACACGGACCTTTGGACTGACCCAGTACGGCCGTTCTTATGTTTTTACAAGAGCTCATCATGTTTAGTCCCCTGTACTTATGGCAGGACTAAGCGTCATTAAGACCCGGGGTGGGGACCTTTTTCAGGTCGCAGGCTACTGACCCATAGGAAAATCAGTTGGCATATAGAACAATTTCCATATGAGACTAGGACTTTTCAGCTTGGAAAAGAGCTGTCTCAGAGGGGATCTGATATGGGTCTATATTAAATCATGTGGGGTATGTAGAAAGTGAATGAGTCCCAGGACACAAGAACTAGGAGTCACCCAATGAAATTACTAGGCAGAAGATTTAAAACATGCAAAAGGGAGTACGTCTTCACACAACACACAGTCAACCTGTGGAACTCCTTGCCAGGGGATGTAGTGAAGGCCAGAACTATAAGGCCAGATTCTTACCAACAACCACAGGACATACCACACTAATACCAACCCTGGTACCTTCCCTTGCAACAAACCCTGTTGCCAGCTTTGTCCACATATTCATTCTGCTGATACTATTATTGGACCTAACCAAGTGAGTTATAAGATCAAGAACACATATTCCTGCACATCCAGAAATATAATTTATGCTATCATGTGCCGAAAGTGTCCGTCTGCTATGTACATTGGACAAACATCTCAGACACTTTGCCAAAGGATTAATGCCCACAAAACAGATATCAGACAAGATCACAAAGAAAAAACAGTTTCTTGCCATTTTAACCAGCAAGGACACTCTCTCAATGACTTAACCACCTGCATTCTGCTACAAAGACCTTTTACATCTGCACTTGAAAGGGAATCCTCTGAACTGTCATTCATGTTAAAATTTGACACTCTCCGGGAAGGAATGAACAAATACTCAAACTATCTTACCCATTACCAAGATAGCTTCCCCAATTATCACCTCTAATACCATTAGCTCACAGACATCCCACTCTCCCCACCTCTAATATCATCAATTCACAGACACTTACCTTCCTTCTTCCCCCCCCCCGCATTCCGTTCCTGTTCTGAAATGTGATTTGTCCTTTTCATATGTGTTCATTTTTTTTAATTGTATCCTTTCGTATATATGGTTGTGACTATTTTCTTCCACTATTTGATCTGAGGATGTGGGTCTGGCCCACGAAAGCTCATCATCTAATAAACCATCTTGTTAGTCTTTAAAGTGCTACATTGTCCTGCATTTTGCTTCAGCTACCCCAGACTAATACGGCTACATTTCTATCACAGAACTATAATGGGATTCAAAAAAGAACTAGCTGAGTTCATAAAGGATATGTCCATCAATGGCCATTAGCTATGATGGTCAGAGATGCAGCCCCATGTTCTGAGTGTCCCTGGTTTCTGCTTGCCAGAAACTGGGAATGGACAACGGGATGAATCACTCAATGATTGCCTGGTCTGTTATTCCCTCTGAAGCACCTGAGGTTGGCAACTGCTGGAAGACAGGCTACTGATCTAGATGCATTACTGATCTGACCCAGTAGGGCCATTCCTATTTTCTATACTAAAATGCTGCAATTCATGCAGTTGTAGCTGTTGATAAAACAAACTACTTACATTTTGTGACCTCCTTCTTTAAATTGCAGGTTTACTTCTATGAATACAATATACATTCGAAACCAGTGGATAAGCCTAGGCAGTGCCTTCCATATGCAATAGTAACAGTAAGGTTTGTTGGGCCGAAGGTGGAAACTGACCCTCTTACAACATCTGTGAGGTTTCTGTCTAAAGGATTTCCTAAGTATTCTGGTAAGATCCATTTAGCTGCATATAGTAACTTTAGGATGTTAAAAGGAATAAGTGTAGTGGGGAGCTAATTCTCTAAATAGCTTTGTGTTGTCATTGTTCACACTCCACCATGGATATCTCACCCTCTAATGTCAAAATTATTCTGTGCAGCACTCCATGCTACCCCTTCAAAGTGGAACAGCCTAGTTCCAGCTGCTGATGGCAACAAGTATACTGGGGAGAAGGGAATGCTTCCCTTAGGGGTGCTGGGCTGCTGCTGCATATGTTAGCCAGGGTGGCTGCCTAAGTCTAAGAGGAGTGCTCAGCCTTTGTATTGCACTGTTCCTGCACAAGGATTTTACCTTTAGATTTGAAGTGTTTGGAAATCTGTTCCAAAAGCTCTCGCTGCAAATAAGTACACTTCGTTTTTATTGCTTTTGTCACAGCAGCTATCAAATATTGATGTAATGTCTTTAGAAGAGATAATGATGCTTATTCTTTAACAGGTTGGCTAGAAGTTACAGATAGAGTTCGCCAGAGTTAAAAATCCAAGCTGCTGTTCAAATTAATGGAAGCATCATAAAAACATAAATTTGCCCATTTTCTTTTTGTAGGATTATTAGATACAGTCTCACCACAGATTCCTACCTCCTGAAAATCTTGATCTTATCTGCAATGTACCTATCTCAGTGGTATTTGAATGCAGACAAAAATTACATATATGAACAAGTAACCCATGGGACTGTATTCTGCTGCCCTTTCTCGTAAAAGCTGTTTGGGGTCCCCTGCTTGTATCTATTTTAAAATATTTCTTTTTTTTTTTGCAATTTCATTTTTGTCCAAGGCAAACTTCTCCTGGATTTGTGTTGTGAGGGGCTTGGGGCTGGAGAAGAGGTTTGGGTTGTGGGGATGTGGGCTCTAGGGTGGGTCTGGAGATGAGGCATTTGGGGTGCAGGCATATTGTCCTTGGCCTGAGACCAGAGGACATACCCCCAGCTCTCTGCCTGCCCGCATCACGGAGCTCTGGGGAAAGGGGTTTTCTTCCCCCTGCTGGCAGCAGCACAAAGCTCCAGGGGAAGGGGCCTCTCTCTTCCCGTCAGCAGCAATCTCCCTAGGATTGCCAGATACTTTCACAAAAAATCCTGAACACGGTAGGAAAAAAATTGGTTGAGCAAAAAAAACCCGGGGGACCAAAAAAGGTATTTCGTCCCAGAAAAACATTTTACATGTCTGGTATTTTCTGGTTTTGTTTTTTTTTAACTGGACAGGGGCCACAAATACTGGACTACCCGGGTGAAAACCAGACACCCGGCAACTCTAGATCTTCTACATGCCCCAATGTGCTGTCCTCATCTGCTCCTGTCCACTCTCTAACTCTCTTCTCTCCAGGTCCCTCTGTGCTTTATGCTTTTTTCAAATTTGTTAGGTCATTTTACGATCTTAACAGTTTTATCTTCCACAGTAGTGCCCCTTTGTTCAACTCAACAATTTTGCCTTTGCCCCAGTAAGCAATGTTTGGCTGTAGATGAAGCAGAAGTAGACATGCTATCTCACATTTTGCAAAACAGAAAGGTTTTTTTCTGTGGTTTGGCAGGGTTGAGATTTTTTTTTCTGCATCAAGTGACTGTTATACACAGAAAACTCTGAATCTGCTTTAAAGAGCAATAAGAGGAATGACCTCTGAAGAAGTGGGTTGTGCCCACGAAAGCTCATGATACCATCTGCATGTTTTGTTAGTCTTTAAGGTGCTACTAGTCTATTTGTTGTGTTTTAATTTTTTTCTGTTACCGATTAACTTGGCTAGCCCTAGGAAGCTTCTGGACCTCAGTTCTGGACCTGAGAACAATATTATCATTATCCAGTAGGATTTGTATTTTGTATAGCTTCTTTCATTCAATTTATATTCCAGAATGGCCTGCACAGTTAAGCAGTGTATATAATTAATAAGTAAGCAGAGTGAGAGACATTGGAATCCTAGAGGAAAAGGAGAGAGGTTTTCAGATGCAATTTGATGGTGCATCTCTGAGGCAGTAAGGCGGTTTTCAGGAGCACATGCCACACTGACTTTTGTTCCTGTATCAGTGAGATTGTATGAAGGGATATAACATAGGAGAGGCAGTGAATGTACAGAATTAGCTTCTATCTGCTTGTAGCCCGGAGTATCTTAAACTGAGCTGGAGTGAGTCTCCCTCAAAATGTTAAATAGCAGCTGCTAAAGTTAGGCATTTTAAAATCAGCAGGTGAAGACAGCACCCAAGCTTTGTAAAAGATCTGTGGGAGGAGTTTACTTCATTTGATTTTCAATAATTCTTGGAACACTGGTGAAATTCTAGAAGACTGGGAGAAAGCTAATGTTATGCCAGTGTTTAAAATGGAATGGTAAATGGAATGATACAGGCAGGTATTGGCTTGTCAGTCTGACATCAGTTCTGGGCAAAATAATGGGAGCTGATTAATAAAGAACTAATGGAGGATAATAGGGATTTCACAATCTCTAGCTGTTTATGGAAAATAGGTGATATCTGAATAATTTGATATCTTTTTATGAGATGATAAATTTGGTGTTAATAGGAATAGTGTTGATATAATTATACTTGACATCTGTAAGGCATTTGTCTTGAGACCACATATTTTGATTGGAAAACTAGATAGAAAGATGTAAATCGTACCTGGCACACATTAGATGGATTAAAACTGGCTAACGGATTGGCCACAAAATGTAATTGTAAATGGGGAATTCATCATGAAATGGGCAAGTTTCTTGTGGGGCCCTACAGTGATTGGGTTTTGATCTTATGCTGTATTAACATTTTTACCAGTGACCTAGCAAAAAACATAAAATCATCACTGATAAGTTTGTAGATGACCCAAAAATTGTCGGAAGGGTTAATAATGAAGAGTATAGGTCATTGACACAGAGCAATCTGGATCACTTGAGAACTGGGTGCAAGCAAACAATATGCATTTTAAGAAGGCCAAATGTCAGTGTATACACCTGGGAAGAAAAGATATTGGCTGTACTTGCATGCTGAGGGACTCTATCCTGGGAAGCAGGGACTCTGGAAAAAATGTGTAGGTTGTGTGGATAATCAGCTGAGCATGAGCTCCCAGTAGCCAAGAGCTAAGGGGATCCTGGGAACAGAGGAAACTTGAGCAGGAGCGAAGAGGTTATATTATCTCTGTATTTGACTACTTCTGGAATACAGTGTGTAGTGCTAGATGCTGATAAAATGGAGACTTTTCAGACTGTTCAGAGAAGAGCCACAGTAAAGATAAAAGGATTAGAAAACGTGCCATATAGTGTTGGCTAAAGAGCTCAATCTATCTAGCTTATCAAAGAGAAAGTTACGGGGTGACTTGGTTATAGTGTACATAGCTGACTGGGAACAAACATTTAACAATGGGCTGTTAGGCCTAGTGGAGAAAGCTGTAACTTGATCCGGTGGCTGGAAGTGGAACTAGATACATTTAGGCTATAAATAAGGTATATACAGTTTTAACTGGGAGTAATTAGAATAACAGAACCATAGGGTTAGAGAGGGAGCACAAGTATCATCTAGTCTAACCCAACATGTAGGATTTGTTGGGTCTAAACCATCCAAGATGGCTGGCTATCCACCCTCCTTTTGAAAACCTCCAGTGAAGGAGCTGCCACAATTTCCCTAGGCAGTTTGTTCCATTGTCCTCCTGTTCTTACGGTTTGGAAGTTTTTCCTGAGATTCAAGATACATCTGATGTATCTCTTTTGCCCATTGCCTCTTGTCCTGCCCTCTGTGGCAAAAGAGAACAACTGCAGCTGACATTCACATTAGCATGAACCCAGCCCCACTGGTTTAGATCAATAACAGACCATTGTTTGTTTATTAACAAAAGAATATAGCATTTTAAATAAGTTCAAGTATAAGATGAAGTTTAAAAGGGGTTACAAGCAAATTAGAATGAAAATATGCATCTAAAAGTCTAAAACGTACTTTGTCAAGTTTTGGTTCAAGGCTTTGTTTACAATGGCCTTTCTTATGCACCGTTTCCCAGCAAGATAGTGGTTGACCCTCCCCTTGGTCAGGATCTCTCACAGAGGCCCAAAGATGCTTTGTCATCTTAGGTAAGAAAATGTGGGGTTCTCTGCCCCTTTCTTTTTTATGCAGCATAGTTGCAGCCATGTCAGTCCCATGATATTAGAAAGACTAGGTGCCTGAGGTAGTAGCTTTTAATGAACCAACTTCTGTTGGTGAGAGAGACATGATTTTGAGCCACAGAGTTCTTCTTCAGGTCTGGAAAAGGTACTCCACTCTGCTGGGAAAGGTGTACTCGACCTTGAATAAGCCCCTAGAATATGTGCTACTTATTTATGTTAAACAATCTGTTCCACCTTGCATTTCGCTGTGATGTTCAGATTACCTTTCCCACACCCAAAGGGAGAGCTCTGTGTGGCTCGGAAGCTTGTCTCTGATACACCTTACTCATCTTGAGTGCTTTGTTTTTGTTTTTAGTCCATTGAATCTTTTAAATGGGTTCTCTGAATGTTACCCCTCAAAGTAAAGTCTGTTCAAACTGAGGAAGGCAACACAGTGTCTTGTGATCAAGGAAGCACCGTGCTCTTTCGTTTGTGTTAGCTGAAATGCAAATTGTTCTGTTTCCTGCCATCTCATCCCCTTGCAGTCTGGATGAGCCTATTTATGTTTTACATGTTAACTGAGATAAACATGTTTAGGATAGGCCTGTTTTAACAACTTTTGCCCAATCAGGGGAGTCTGGTTTTGAACGTGTGCTAATGATATCATATAGAGAGATTTCAGAACTGTGTCTATATTGTTGCTACATACATTTCACCATGATATTAACTAGGAAGTAATTTTTCAAAAGATACCTCACAAGGCATATTTTGTACATAGATTATTACAGTAATGTGTAGGATGTTCATACAGGGGTGCTTTGGGCCACAATGGCTCTAAAGTTGGTTGAGAGATTATACTCAGAGTAATTATCAGTAGCTTGCTGTCAAACTGACAAGGTTATCTAGTGGGGGCGTGCAGGGTTCTGCCTTGCATCTGATACTACTCAATAGTTTTATTATTGACTTGGATTGTAGAGAGGAGATTGTGTTTATACAGTTTGTGGATGACACCAAAGTGGGAGAGGTTGCAAGTACATTGGAGGTGTGACAAAGCACCCCTGGACCTTGCTGGATCCCGCACTCTCAGGCGGATGTTAGATACTTTTTCTAGGACACCAGCTTGCCATTGGCCGGGCCACTCTCATAATTGGCCAGAATGGGGAAAAGATGGGAGTCCAAACTCCATAGTCTCTGCTGCCCCTTCAAATGGTATGGGCAGGACAGACCCTTTTACCAAAACTAGTCCTCTCCGGTGCTGAAATGGGGAATTGGTGGTGGGGGACCTTAGATCCGCCCTCTACAATGGGTTCCAGCTCATGGACCCTGCGACATCAGCTGCCTGTAATGTGTCCAATATCAGCTGCATGGCAGCTACAATCCCCTGGGCCACTTCCCCACAGTCCTTCCTATCACCTTCCTTAATTCAGACTCTTCCCCTGGTACCTGCTTGTGCTTTTTTCTCCCAAGCCTTCCAGAGCACTTTCTCTCTTCAGTTTCTTGCATGCAGTGAGCTAGCAGAAGAGAAGCCCTTTTTATCCAGTCTCATCTGGTTCTTCCATTGGAGACACATGGCAGGGGAAGGAGAGGGGCCCTTGCTCCTCCCCTCCCCAGTAGCCTCTTCCAAGCACTCTCTTGAGTGCCACAGCCTGGAGGGAGCCTCCCTGCCTGCATTTATTTATTGCATTTATGATGGAAAAAACAAATGCACAAATATAAAATGGTGATTAACTGGTTAGGCAGCAGTACTGCTGAAAGGATCTAGGAGTTATCATAGATCACAAGTTGAATGAGAGCCAAAAATGGGATGCAGTTGCAAAATGGGTTAATATTCTGGATGTTGTTGGAATATGTCTGGGAAAGCACTACAGTAGTGGTAGGGGTCTGGCCAGAGCAGACATTGTCCTTTCTGCCTTCATCCTTGCAGCCTAGAAAGAACAGTGTTGTCTTTGGGGTTTTTTTGTTTGTTTTTGTTTTTCTTATTTGTTCTTACTTGCTCTGTAAAAATACTTCCAGGGGCACATCCTTTGTAATCTCTGTAACCTGCTGATTCAGAAAGTATGTAATGTTGAAAAGTGCTGATCTAACTGAAAATCCTGTAAACAGTAAATGGGGGCAGGTATAATAATATTCATCCCCTGCCTATTAATTGTCAGTGTATAGGAGTTAACATTACTAAGTAAGGATTAGGGGGAAGTAGTGATAGACATGTGAGTTAACATACTAAAATGGATACAGGAGTGTAACTGGTGCCAGATCATTGCTCACCCGAAACATTGTGTTGGGGGTCCAAGGTGGAATGAGTATCTGCAATAAAGAGGTCTGTTTAGTCCATCCCTCCTGGGTCAGCCTGTTTCTTCTCCAACAGATGTATTAACAAATATATAAGATATGGGAGGTAATTGTCCTGCTCTGCAAAGCACTGGTGTCAGTTTTGGGTGCTGCACTTTAAGAAAGATGTGACAAATGGTGGAAAGTCCAGAAGAGAGCAAGAAAAATGATAAAAACATTTAGAAAACCTGACCTATGAGCAGAGGTTAAAAACAGGGCATGCTTTATCTTGAAAAAAAGGTGGCTGAGGAGGGGACCTAAGAGGCCTTCAGGTACGTTAAGGACCATTATAAAGAGTTCTGTGATCAATTGTTCTCCACATCCACTGAGGGTAGGACAAAAAGTAATGGGCTTAATCTGCAGCATGGGAGAGTTAGGTGAAACATTAGGAAACTTCTCACTCTCCTGGTAATTAAGTTCTGAAGAAGGTTTCCAAGAAAGTTCTATCTCCACCATTGGAAATTTTAAAGAACAGCTTAGACAAACACTTGTTAGAAATGATATCAGGTATATTTGGTTCTGCCTCAGTACAAATGGCTTGACTGAAAATTTTCTCAAGATCTCTTCCAGGTCTACATTTCTATGATTTTATGTTGGGAAGGGGGTTGGGGGACTCTTCTCATGTATGATTGGCAGAACAGAAGAAAGCACAAAGGGGCTTGTTTTAAATGTTACAAGTGGGTGATGGAAACTAGTATCACCAACGGAGGAGAGGTCTTGGTGGATACACTGACAGCAGATGAAAGAGAAGTAAGATGGGGATGGGCCAGGAAGGGAAGACAGGTAAATTGTGTTTGATGCACTGGAAAAGAAGGCACCAATGGAAGGATGTAAAGAAAGTGTTGATATGATCAAAGCTAGGAACAAAGAAAATGATCTTTGCATAGCGGAATAAAAGCAAAACTTTTATGAAGGCCAAAGGAAAGAATGTTGCAGTAATAAAGATGTAAGTTGACAAGGGCCTGGATGAGAAAATGCATGCCTTTATGTAAGTGTTAAAAAACCTTTCTCTTCATTGGACAACTATTTTGAATTCTCCTGTGATTCAGGCAGAACATGAAAAAAGTTTTTTCACTTTTTTAAAAGTTAGAAATGGGTCAAATTTTTCTTGCAGCCTTAATTCTGAAATATTGTCACTTTTCTCTTCTTGATTCCACAGGAAGACGAGGCTCATGGAAAAACTGCACAGTAGCCAAAAGGATTGGTAAAGGCGCTCAGGCTACAATAATCTATGAGCATTTCAGGAAACCTGTAAATGTACATGCTTTCAGACCTGAGGAAAGCTCTTCTTGCAGTGAAGTAAATTCAGAGGAAAATACTTCTGGCCCCAAAGTTCGTTCTTCCTGCGAAAATACACAGAACAGGAATGGTTTGGTAGCTGAAGCCCACGATATCCAAGTGGAACATAACATACCAGGAAGGTGGGATTCATCACAAGTACAAGAAAATGAACTGAGTCTGTCCCTTGTGGCTGGTGTAGATGCCAATGGAAGCATCAACAGTGACCAGATGGTGAATCTAAAATGCATTGACACTGCTGCCAACAGTAGTAGTGGCTCAAGTACTGTAATTACTTCAAGACTCATTATGGATCCAAGACTGAAGAAAAGAGAAGGAAACCCAGAAAAAGAAAACTCTGAAGCAGTTTTTCATAGGAATTCAATGTCTGAGAATGGGCTGGAATATCTCAACTCAGAAATGAAAATATCAGCCACTTTAAATTTAGATTTGCCTGAAGAACCTCCTCTGCTTAATGACCCAAAACAAGATCCACTTGGACAGAGACATGCAGGACAAGAATTATGGAAAGAGGCAGTTTTAATAAAAGAGTTTACGTCAACATTAAAGACAAACAAAGAACACTCCATGGAAGACAAGCAAGTGGCTGGTAGCATAACAAAACTTCATAAAGGAATAATGGAGCCATTCCCATTGCAAGATGTTCACACACAACCTGCTTCAAAAATCTTTATTGAAGAAAAGCATGTCACAGCAAATGAGAACCTTATCTGTGAGAGAAAAGACTTAAAAATGCACCAGATTCAGGTAGTAGAACAACCGAGGAAATGTTCATCTTTGCCATTTGGGGATACAAAACCTGAGACAGACTCGCAGGAGAGTTTGTCAATGAAAGACAAAGCAAACCACTGCTACACAGAAAAAGATTCCAGTCTTCCTAAGAATAACACAAAGCATTTACCTGTTCACGGTAGCAAAAAGAACTTGAGTTTCACTAAAAACTCAGGGCATAATGAGTCTCCTCCTGATCAAAAGTGCCAATCTGTCTCAATGGGAAAGCCAGTTTCATCAGTGCTATCTGCTAACTTTGCCTGCAACACACTCCCTGAACCTGTGCCTGACAGCATTATAGATTCAGGCAGTTGTCTGAATTCCAGATCTCAAAAGTGTTCTGATCACCATATGCCATCAATGGTAGGAAATATTTTCTCTTTTTTCTCTGAAGATTGTGAGAAGAAAAATTCTAAGAAAGTACCTGCAGAGGACCCCCCAAAAAGAAAAAAACAAAGGTCACACTTATCTCTGTCGCATGCATGGAAGCAGGGAAAAATGTCAGTAGGTCAGAAAAAAACTAATGCAGATAAAAAATCGAAGATTTTCAGTCAAGTGGGCAATGGCCTTAACTCACTTAAGAAACATGATAAAGGACAGGATTCAGCACCACAGAATTATTCTAAACAGGATAAGTATGCTTCAGGGAAAGGAGGGCAGAAATTTCAGGAATCACGATCAATTCATTTAGTATCACTTCAGGATAATCAGACACATACTACTGAACAGTGTTTGCATGATGATAAAGGCATGAACATGGGCATTCAACATCCAGAAAGTATTAAATCTCAGGAAGGCAAGACAGACGAATATACTGGGAAAATGCATACCCAGTTACAAGAAAAGAATTATACTTCTGAAATAGGAAACCGTTCAACAGATTCTAACATAGCGGGTGCTGAAAATACTTTGACCTCAAACAGCGAATATAAAGTCAATAATGAGAGTTTTAATACACAGGATCATACTTTAGACAGTGATGTCCCTGGAAAAATGCATTTTTCTGGACATGCTATGAGAAAACAGTATGTGAAAGTGGAAGAAGACAGGTGTGCCTGTCATGCTACTTGTGAATCTGTTGCTAGTGATCAAATCATTCGTGAAGAAAACGCTTACCAGAGTAAACTTCAAGATACTATGCTTTCAGAAAAATGCACTGTGGGTGAAAACCTTATAATGGCCCATAAATTAACATGTTCAACAAATGGAAGTACAAACAAAAATTGCATAGATAAAAAAGAAGATGCTACAAAAGAAGTCAAAGCCAGTTCTTTCATCAAAGACACAATGAATGACCAGATATATTTATCTCATGCTGTCTGCAGAACAGACAATGTATTGACAGATTACTGCAATACAGAATCCCTGTGTTTCCTTGGAGAAAATGAGCCAGTGTCGTTAGACAAACATTTCTGTGGGGATAGCAAAGAGTGTGGAGCTTCTGAAGCTGCATCTTTAGATAAGGAGACGAGTCGGATCTGTAATCTGGAAAAGAGGACTGACATAAATGTTCATGATTTCAACCAAATGCACACATGCAGACTTGAAAAGGAATTTATCAATGTACCAGGAGACTGGATGAAAGTTTGTGAAATTCCTCCTATTCTGGATTTTGAAAGATCAGCTGCTGGTTTAAACTTAACTTTTGAAGAAGGATGTGCATTAACAGAAGCCTGTTTGATGGAAACAGATGTTTCCAAGGAAAAGGGAATTATTCCAGATAACAAAATAGTCTCAGAAGAGCTGTCTGCCACAGCAGAGTTTTGTAGACCTTCAGCACTGCCAGAGACTCATGCATGGGAAGAGCAGAATGCTGTTATGCTAATCACCACCATATCCATACCTTCTGGAAATGTGGAACACAAAGAAAGAGGATGTTTCCAACCTGAGGAAACATATGCTTCTGAGAAAAACTCATCTTGCCTTGAAAATAGTGTGCGGGAAATATTTAAACAGACAATAGAGGAAAAATGTGAGGATATTTTTCTCCAGGACATGGAATTTGAAAGTGAGATTGAAATTCAACCAGAACAGCCTGAGGAATCTCTCTCAGCACCACAAAATCCACAGAGTCATGAAGATGAATCTGGTGAGGAGGTTGACTCACTGTATCAGTACTTGACTGATCGTATAGACTGGGAAAGTTTGTTTGGCAACACTAACCGGAAGATATCAGGGAGGAATGAAGATCACTTTCCACTGGGGGAAAAATCTTGCACAAAGGAAGATAAAACAGCATCTTTAAGTACAACTGCGTGGCCTGATTTACAGATTACAGTAACCAATATATTTAAATCAGGATTCAGCTGCCCAATCATTGACACAGCGAGAGAGATGTGCACATGTGCAATTGAACCTGCAGGACCAGAAATCAATATGGAATTGTCAGGAGAGCAAAGAAGTGAAGAAAATATGCAGAATTTGGATCTTACAAATAAAATGGAAACATGCCTAACTATCTATGTTCATAACACAGATCCTCATATGCCTGAAAAAGAGAACAGTACTTTTACTGCACCTATTACCGTTTCCAATGTATTGAATAAAAGAAGTAGCTTTTACTGTGCACAACCAAAAGATACTAGTAAGGAAAGTAACAGTAGAAAAGGTGTGCGATCAAAAGTTAAGAGAAAACATCCACGTAATGCATCTCTAACAAATCAAATGAAGCCTCAGAAATCTTCAACATGTTCATCTATATATAGAAATTCAAAATGTTGTGGTAAAAAGAGAGAACGCTGCTCATCTGCGATGTTTTCTTCATTATTTGAGGGACGGATTAAAACACTTGCACAGTCTGAAAAACACATTAAAAATGTTCTAAATACTCTTTGTAATGAAGCATCCTTATGCAAAAGTAGGCGTCTATCCAAAAAAATAGATGGTGCTCTGTTTCACTTACGGAAAGCTCAGAGGAGAGTTCTCAAATCTCTAAAAATCGTAACTAAAGTTGGAGAAAAAAGACAAAAGGGTCCTTTACCAAAACGTTATGAAATAATATGCAATGACTTATGGGAAAGCTGTGATCTTGAAGGTCATAATTTCTTGACATCTGGGAAGTATTCTTTTGCTCACTTTTCTCAGAAAAGAAAGTCTAACATACAGGAAAATAAACGGGCTGTGGAGTTTAAGGAAGCAAGTGACACTGTTACATATATGCCAGTAAAGAAAAGGTTTAAAAATAAAGGGAAGAAAACGAGAAAAATAGTTTCAAAGAATGACCTGCCAGTGAGATCTACTATGAGCTGTGCACCTGTTGTGTTGAACGATATTGTAAGTCAGATACATCATTGCAAATCTGACTTAACTGTGGCTTCTTCGGTAACTTGTAGTCAGTTTTCAGCTGCCACATGCAAGGAATATATGGATTTTCAGAATAACAATGTGAGAGATTCAAGAAGAATAACGGAACTTCAAACAGTCTCTGACAACTCTGTAGGTTTAGACACCATTGGACTAGAAGATATGGAACTAACTACTAAGAAACACAACGTTTTTGTAAACATTTCATCTAAAATTCATATTCAAGGGACTGCTGGAAAATGTGGCAGGGTAGTACAAGATATAAGACAAGACCACATCTTTGAAGCAAATACATCTGCAAACAAAAATATCTCAGAAACTTTGAGCTTGCCTCTCAGAAGGGATGATTATGTTGAATTTTGTATGGACAAAAGAAAGGATGGAGCTTGTAAGAGTAATGTAAAGATAGACACTGTCATACATACGTCACAATTAAAAGCAGCTGCAGAACACTGTTTAAATGCAAACACCGACAAGCAAGATGTTTCCACACTCTCTGCCACTCACAAAAGGCTGGAAGGTATTCTTTCTTCTGAAAAAGAGAATATGTTTTCTGCTAGTAGTGGAGATATTTCCACAAATCAGAGTATTAATATTGGAAATTGTTCTTCAGGCTCAATGAAGCAGATGCCTGCAACAGAAGGAAAACATGAGACCAACATATCTCAAGTTCCATTAGACAACCAAATTATTAGTGCTAAAGCTGCATCTTTGAAAATGAGCTCAAACATTTTATCTGAGAGAATTTTAGAGATCCAGTCTTTTGAAACACCCACACTACCTCTCCGTGGACAGCTTCAAGATAGAAGGAGTGACAGAGAAGAAACTTCAAATTCAGAAATGGGTCGTCTGAGTAATTACGGAAAAGTAGCTGAAAAGGAGACACATGTTACCGAGACTATGAAATTGGAACCATTGGCAAAATGTTTATATAAGAGAGAAAATAACAGAGAGAAAGAGAACTATTTAAAAAATGTATCGTCTGTGTCCCTATTATGCAATGCTCTGGCCCCCTTTTCAAATCAATATATTCCACAAGAAGTTAGACAGAAAACATTTCTAAAACGAAAGGAAACAGGACCAGTGGAAAGTAAAGCAAAAACACCTGTAAATCTGTATCTGGCAAAAGATGTACCCGGGAGATCCTCTGCTATGGTAGTTTTGGAACAAAAGTGCATAACACAAAAAGAAGGTCACTTTAGGTGTAATAAGGAATACAGCTGCATTCAGAATTCTTCAAACAACAGAAGGGCTCTCACTCCACCTATCTTAAGGAAACCCATGGATAAGAAATTTGCCCAAAGTAATAAAGATTGGAAAGAAAGCACTAACAAAGATTGCCAGATTAACTCAGAGCTGAAATCAGGAATTGTAGTTGAACAAGATATTCAAAGAATTACGAAGACTTGCGGTGGCTCACCAAGCAGAACGCATCAGAACTTTACAGCCCATGTCACTAAGCTGAATGTAAATCATCTCGCAGGTGATCCTCTGAACAAATATGAGGGCATCAATGGTAAAAACAAGCATAGAGAAGTGGGGATGGAACTGAAATCTCTTGCTTTTATAACTGAAATATCAAAGATTTTACAAAAAGCAGATGAAACATCATCTCTGAAAATATTACAGGAACAGATTACAGTTTGTGACACCCTTCTTCCTTCATTTATTAAGGCTTTTGAGGAAAAGCAAGGGTGCTCATATAAACACATCTTGATTTCCCGAGAGTTACTGGTTGAAAGAAAGCAATGGACTAACTGTAAATCTAAGTTAAAGTCAGATGCTGTAGATTCGCTGGTGGAACTGCAAATAATAATGGAAACAATTAAATTCATTGAAAACAAAAAGTGCTTTCTGGAAAGGGAGCCAACTTTCCGAAGTTTGCTTTGGTATGACAGTTCACTCTATGGGGAACTGTTTGGGAGGCCATCAGGGTATCAACAACAATCTAATTTCTATCCAGCTTTCCAAAGAAGGCTGAAGTACAATGTTTTTCGTGAGCTACAGAGCTACCGTAGACAGTTATTAGAGCTCTTTGAAAAAACAAAGTGGCAAAAAAAATCGTACTATGCATTCTTGAAATTCAGGCGAGAGCTTGATGAGTGTGAAGCTGTGATACAACGTAACTCTGATTGCTTAGATTTTTTTCTCTCTGTGCCTTTTACTTGTGGTGTTAACTTTGGAGATACTTTAGAAGATTTGGAAACTGTAAGGAAAAGTGCCGTGGAACTGATAAATACGTATAGGAACCTTCCAGATGTTCACTCCTATGCAGAAAAAGAGGACCATCTGTGGATTATAATGGAAATTATCGCTACAAAGATAAGCTTTATAAAAACCTGTGAATCAATTAATATGAAAGCATCACTCTTTGGCCTTGAGCATATATTTTTTGATGCTGCCAGAAGTCTTGTTTGGAAAGACAGAAGTGTGGTGTTAAATACAGTCTCTCCCAATGAGAAAAAACAGCTTCTGAACACAATAAACCAAGATGCCCTCTCCAGGTTGTATGAGGTTTATGAATATGTGGCTGAAGAGTTTAGAACTGAAAAATCTAACAATATTCCTAAGACGACAAATGATGCAGAAAAGTCAAAATATTGTGAAAATGAAGGCAAACACGGAGATGAAAACGCTGACTGCCTCAGCCTCAATGTTTTGCTTTCACATCCTGATATTTGCTGTGTTGGAGAAATATTAGATGAAGCTCAGTTTGCCGACCTCAAAAAGTTAGAGCAGCTAATGTTCAGATGTACTGAACATTTAGAAACCTTAAAAATGTATTTTCAGATTTTGCAGGAGGAGGACATTGATAAAATCTTAATCACACAGCAAAATGTGCTAGACACAATGAAAAATGATGGCATTAATGCTGTAATTTTAAAGCCTGAAGCTGTTGAGACTTACATTGAAGTACTAATGATGTATGAAACAATTCACTTTCTTAAAAATTCAATAGCAAAAAAAGTAGATGAACAAAGATTTCGAAGCTTATTGTGGTTTGATTTATCACTTCTTCCTGAGTTGGTACATTGCCAAGAGAAAATGTCTTCCTTTTCATTTCTGAAAGATAATTCAATGGACAACCTTCGTAAAACTATTGAGTCTGCCATCTCTGAGCTTAAGAGTGAGCTGGATGTTATTTACAACTATGCAGACACCATCAACTGCTCTTACGCACTTCACCTTTTGACCAGAGAACTTACAGAACTTTCGGAAATAAGAACATTCATACAAAATTCGAAGCCTTCTATCTTCACATATGTTGAGTGTGTACCTTATACAATATCTGTTAACTATGGGAGCACGGTGGCTGAATTAGACTACAACTACCAGCAGTTTTCTTTGTTGCTTGAAAATTTAATGTTGGCTGCCAGGAAGGATTTAGGGAAAATGGCTCATATTATGAAAATAATGAAAACCATTGAGCATATGAAGTTTGCTTGTGCCAAAAAAGGTAAATCAGTCCTCTCTCTTCTGATATATCAAATGCTAAATAACTGGAGAAAAACCTGCCAGATGAAAAGAAAGGGAAACATGAAAATGCATCTGACTAAAACTAAAAAAAGAGTCTGTGAAACTCAAGCTTCGGTGTCTGTCATCAAAAGTAGCGCTGAGCCTCAGAAAAAAAGATCTAGTTTTGTGTCCTCACATAAAGACACTCCCGAGCATACAGAAAGCTCTCCTTCCAGCTGCAAGAAACAAAAGGTAAGACAATTTTTTAATACGTCTTCAAAATGCTTTTTTGTTAAAGGAGAATTGTAGTGCTAGTTATGTACATGAGCTAAAAGCAGATGTGTCAATCAGATTGTGCTTTGTGGAGATGAATGATTCCAAGCTTGAATTTAGAGCAAAAAAGAAAACTCTCTCATATATATTATTACCAGGGCATAAACTGGTCAGAAAGAAGTGACAGTCCTGTCATTGACCAATGAGGAAATGTCATTAGTTTGTAACAGAGTATTAGAGCTAAAACATCTCAAATGCCATTTTTCTTTCAGCCTTAAAATAAATTTTTTATAGTAGATGAGAGAGTTAATTTAAAAAAACTGGAATTTGCTGCTTGTAGAATGCTCTATCAGCATCAGATAGCTGAGGACTTTTTCACAGCACAGCGTGCAATATGATGAACCCTTGTCTTGGCAAAGCCAAAAATTCAAAAACGAGGGCACAAACACCCGAGATTTATTTCCAGCCTCAGATGCAAACAAACCTCACTCCTAGTATACCTCAAAAGTCTGCATTCCTAGTACTGCTGGAAGTGGGGATGATCAGCTAAGCTCCTTGGTTGCCATTTATAGAATGTTCTTTTTTGTCTGGAAGGCGAAGTAAGTTGTGTTTTTCAGTGTGGCACTGTAAAGCATGTTTTCAAATCCTTCAGTCATTCTTACAACATTTTTAAATGTTATTCTCTTAATTTTAATGGTATCCAACTAATGTTTTTGTGTGTCATAAGTACTTTTTAATATTTTCAGTGTTCATATTTCTCTTGTACTAATATTTGTGTAAAATCTGAATGTGAACAATACATAACTGTATTTCTGTACTACCTTATTTCTGTAAACCTCTAGATTCCTATTAAAATACTTAAAATCAGATCTTTAAAAAGATGTTGTGATCTCATCTCTAAACCCCAAAGAGAGTTGAAAACAGGAAGTATGCAGCACCATTGTTATACTGTAGGGATCTGGCTCTGCCCTCAACCTCTTACACTTGATCTCCACCTTTAATAGATAGTAGCTATATCTTGTATTTGCTGCTCAGCTACTACTTCATTCTTAATTAATGGGCTGTGTGTGTGTTGTGAAATTGGAAAACAATCAATTTTTGCTGGAAACTGCAATTCTTAGCCCCCTTCTTTATTCTTAGCCCCAGAAATTCTGCCTCCAGTAGTGGTCAGAGATGGTGGTTCATCTTCTAGCATGGCAGTTTGTATTTGTTGGTGGTGCAGTAGAGATCTCAGTTTATATTCCAGCGCCTTACCTTTTACTCTGCTGGAGAGTCACTGAGCATTGGTGCCCGTGGGACTTCTCCAGTTCTGAATCTCTCTAGTCATCTTCCTCAGCCTTCTGTCCATCCCCACAGTACCAAGTCATGTCCAGGAGCTATTGTGTTTAGCTTTTTAGGAGCTTCATAAGGTGAGCAATGCCCTGGTGCTGCCAACCAGCTGATCCTTACGCTGCCAGGGCACAGGGCTTTTGAGTTAGACTGGCAAGTCTGGGCCTTATTGCAGCTTCCTGCAGGGAAAGTCTGCTGTGGAATGATTCAAACAGCAGTAATATGATTTTTCCAGGAAGGTGAACCCTAAACAGCCTGCTATGCAGTAAGACTCCAGAGATGCAAGATCTGAATGGCGATTTCTGGGTGAAATGAAACTGTTATATAGATACAAGGAAATTTCACAGATGATGGAGAACTAGACAGTGAACCTAAAAAGCCAGTGCAATAGTAGTTCCAGAGGTGCAAGGCACTGTTGAATGGGACTTCTTCTCTAAGTTCCTATAGATCGTAAGAGAAAAGACACTGGAGGCAGAAATTTGAAAACTCAAGTTTTGATCATTCTAAACTAGTAAGTGTCTTGTTTGCCTAATGGTATAGTCCTTACTTTGAGTGTGAGAACTCTGGGATTCAGAATCTGATAAATCCTTGTGGCAGTGTGTAAAATGCACTGCAGAATTGGGCATCTATTCCCAGATCACATGCTGATGTCCCATCTATGGGTAAGTACAAAGAACATTATGAAACCTAATTTAGACCTGTGCATACACACTCTGGAAGCAAACCTCATGTTGTAGGCAGCATGCCTGAAGATGAGATGAGATGAGATAATCCTCATGTAGAAAAATGAAAGCATCAGCGGTGCTCTGGACTTGTCCAAAATATCAGCAGGACAGCACTGCCCAGCGCGATGTCTGGGCCTACTCATGGGAATTGCAATATTGGATCAGACCAGTGGTTCATCAAGGTCAGTATCTCTCTCTGACAGTGACTGGCACTGGCTGTTTCACAGGGAGGTGTCTTTCCACCATAGTTCTTGTGAATCTCTCATTATACAGTAAGGGCACGTCTACACAGCAGGGCTAAAGCCAAAATAAGCTATGCAACCTGAGCTGCCGCTATTGTGTAGCTGAAGTTGAAATAGCTTATTTTGCTTTTGGTGCTGTCTACACAGCAGGAAGTCTGAGTTAGAGCACTCTTTCGCCGACTTCCCTTACTCCTTGTAAAATGAGGGTTACGGGAGTCAGAGTAAGAAGTTCCCCAGCTCAACATTATTTCCACGTTATGTCAAAATAATGGCTTGCTGTGTAGACACGGACTATGTTATTTCGGAATAATATCAGTTATTCTGAAATAACGCTGCAGTATAGACATAGCCTAACTGTAACTCCCAAAATGCCTGGATCTCAAGGGCAGTGCTTTACTGTGATTGTAATAAAAAGATAGGATGTTATTCAAACAAAGATATGTGTGTACATTTTGAAAATATCTAACAGGAATAATGTGCACAAAATAATGATTAAAAGTATAAGAATTTCACTTATTTTCTCTTAGGTTGGTGTTCTGATGGCAGCAGTCTCAAAAAATGGAGATGAAAATGAAACATGCAATCACATAAGGTATATTTAGGATTTAAAATAGTAAGAACACTTGTGCAGAACATCTCAAGATCTGTAGAATAATGACAGGGAAAAGACTGATACCTTTCCCCTTTACTTTGACACAGTACTACTCAACTTGTAGCATTAGAGAGCCATTTAATTCTTGAGGCACTCTTGTAGAGTCCATGAGCAACTCTCACACTCAACCTATTCTCAGACATAACGGGTGGACTTCCAATCACAGTAGCACTCTTTGCCCTTCCTAGCACATCTGAAACTGGAGAGGAAGCATTAAGTGATGTATCAGAGTTGATGGGAACATTTCAGCCACCAGGAGAACAGTAATAGAGAAGCTTATTGTGTCAAATGAATATATCATGTTACCATGATGTGACATTCTGGCATTGCTTAGTGATGTTTCTTTGGTCATTTTCCATTGCCGTAGATGACACACATTTATCGTGCAATGTTAGCTTTTCAAGATTGTTTCTATGCGAAGGTCTCAGGTGTTAGAGTTGTATGATAAAAGGAAGTTCCCAAAACAGCACTATAGACTTCTTCCCTCATTTTTCTCTATTGTTGTTTAAGGAGCCTTCACAATGCAATCCGCTAAATCATTTGATGCAGGATGATAAGCAGTTTACTTAATGTGTGTGGGAAAATTTCTTTTGAGGAAAGAATTCTTCAGCAATTGAAGACCATTGTCTGAAGTAGTCTCTTTGGCTGAACCATGTGAGCATAGATAGCCCACAGTACCTCAACAATCTTGGCAGCAGAAGTGATTGCCATATGTACTACTTTATTCCAGGTGACCAAAGCATTCGCTACAGCTAAGTTAATTTGGTATTCTTCTCTGCAATATCAATGTCATCTTTGCCAAATAATCCATTTCCCAGAATGACAAGCAGTGTTTTATGGCATATTTAGGTGAACACTAAGTAAAGTTAGCACATGTATTAGTTTTTTGTTCACTGCCTTCATTTCTATAGAGGTTCTTATCCAACAAACTCATTACCATACTCGCTGATTGCTTTCCAGTCATATAGTGAGCCATGTGACCAACATGTAATAGTTTGTGAGCATTAACTTCTGCAAGTTAATGATAGAAAGGAAAGGGAGGTGTCTTTTGATTCATAAAAATTTACAGAATCATAATTTCAATAGTATCACATCTCTGTGGAGTGACATGTGAGAGTCAGTCTCCCCAACCCTGCTCCCATCTCCAAGGACTTTACATTTGATGAATCTTTTGTTAATATCATGTCAATGGAAATGGGTTGAGTTGGGTATCATTCAAAAGCCCTTCTCCCATGAACACAATGGTATCCAACAAGACAAACCTAGAATGATTATGTAGAGATACATTCAAGAAAATGTTTAAAAATCAACTTTTACAAAAATTATACTTTGACGTGTCTGTGTTAAACATGCAGCCCTCCCAAAGTTTAAACTGTGGTCCTCATCTGATGATACCACCTTACCAGTTAATGCTTGAGATACAATATCCTGATTAATTTTGTTAATGTTACAGGTTGCTATGAATGGAAAGAATATTCCTAGTTGATTCGCCAAAATTGGCAAAAGATACGTGGTTCAGTAGTATTGTCAGGTCTGTTTATTATGCCAAAAGGTTGTAATTAGGTGCTAGTTAAGAATCATAGAATACTAGGACTGGAAGAGACCTCGAGAGGTCATCGAGTCCAGTCCCCTGCCCTCATGGCAGGACCAAATTCTGTCTAGACCATCCCTGCTATCGTGTCCCCCCTCAATCTTCTCTTTTCTAAACTAAACAAACCCAATTCCTTCAGTCTTCCCTCATAGATCATGTTCTCTAGACCTTTAATCATTCTCATTACTCTTCTCTGGACCCTCTCCAATTTCTCCACATCTTTCTTGAAATGTGGTGCCCAGAACTGAACACAATACTCCAAATGAGGCCTAACCAGCGCAGAGTAGAGCGGAAGAATGACTTCTCGTGTCTTGCTCACAACACACCTGTTAATGCATCCCAGAATCATGTTTGCTTTCTTTGCAACAGCTTCATAGTGCTGATTCATATTCAACTTGTGGTCCACTATAACCCCTAGATCTCTTTCTGCCGTACTCCTTCCCAGACCGTCGCTTCCCATTCTGTATGTATGAAATTGATTGTTCCTTCCTAAGTGGAGCACTTTGCATTTGTCTTTATTAAACTTCATCCTATTTACCTCAGACCATTTCTCCAATTTGTCCAGGTCATTTTGAATTAAGACCCTATCCTCCAGATTAGTCGCAACCCCTCCCAGCATGGTATCATCTGCAAACTTAATAAGCGTACTTTCTATTATTGAACAGAGCCTGTCCCAAAACAGGATTGTTTCGTGTTCCTCAGTCTTAAAAAGTTTAAGAAACACCGCTCTATATAAAACCATGGTACACTCACATCTTAAATACTGCATACAGATGTGATTGTCTCATCTTTTCCACCTTGGCATTGGAAAAGGCTCAGAAAAGGGCAACAAAAGTGATTAGGGTTTGAAGGGGTCCCATATGAAGAGAGATTAAAAAGACTTGGACTTTTCAATTTAGAAAAGAGGAGACTAAAAGGGGATAGAATAGAGGTCTATAAAATCATGACTGGAAAACATGAATAAGGAAATAACTTCCTTATTCCCACAATATAAGAACTAGGGGTCACCAAATGCAATTAATAGCCAGCAGGCTTAAAACAAACAAAAAGAAGTTTTTCTTCACTCAGCACAGTCAACCTGTGGAACTCCTTGCCAGAGGATGTGGTGAAGGCCAGGACTTTAACAGGATTCAGAAAAGAGCTGGATAGTCACTGATGGACCTCCTGTCCAGTCGGTCCGGCCACTGCCGATGGCGCGCAGCCCAAGATGGGCTGCGCCTGGCCGTGCAGGGCCCTGTGGCCGCGGGGGGGAGGGAGCTGCTGGCCGGTGCTGGCGGGGGGTACATGTCCCCACCCCA